CTTTTCCTTAGCAATAATTTATATATATATATATATATATATATATATATATATATATATATATATATATATATATATATATATATATATATAAATTATTGCTAAGGAAAAGAAAAAAAATATTAGAATTATGTATAGTATATATATATATATATATATATATATATATATATATATATATATATATATATATATATATATATATATATATATATATATACTGTACATAATTCTAATATTTTTTTTCCTTAGCAATAATTTATATATATATATATATATATATATATATATATATATATATATATATATATATATATATATATATATGTATATATATATATATATATATATGTATATATATATATATATATATATATATATATATATATATATATATATATATATTATATATATATATATATATATATATATATATATATATATATATATATATATATATATATACATAAATATGTATGTATGTATATGTATATATATGTACATGTATATACTGTGCATAATTATAATATTTATTCCCCCTTTTCGGCATTTCTTCTTTCCCTTAGCAATGAGGTCTGCACTGATTGTGGCGTGCGTGTTGGCTGCCCTTGCGCTGCCCCTCCAGGCCCTCCCACCCCCTGCCGGAGGAGAGGGGCTCTCCGCCCTGCAGCCTCGCCCCCCAAAGTCCGCAAGTGGGCGTCACCTGACCTGGTGGATATTCGGGGTAAGAAAGCCATCGATGTATAATTTTACTTGCTTTAAATGATGACGATATATTAATTTCGCATAAACACCTACTCGGCTTAATTACTCAGCTGGAAAATGTTAATAACCGCAGAACGATGACGAAGAAGTGACCACGCCCGATGCAAGCGACCACGTCTCGCCCACGCCCCCTCCTACCTCCTCGCCCGGCCCCACGACCACAGAGGAGCCGAGTGCATGGAGGTCGTGGTTCTCTAATGTGGGCGACAATATTAAGAGCGCGGCGTCCAAGGTCAAGGACGAGCTCCGGGAGGTGAAGGAGGCGTACGACTCGGGGCGGGCGGCGGTGGGGACGGCGCTCAAAAAGGGGGCCAATAGGGTCGGCTCCGCCATCAAGTCCGGCTTCAGGAAGATCAAGATCAAGTTCACCGGAGGCAAGGAGAAGTTCAACATCATGGCGACGCGCCTGAAGGAGAAGCTCGAGGCGGGCGACGACCGAATCCTCGAGCTCATGAGGAAGCTTGGGATCAACGTGAACATCGAAGACAACAAGATCACGGGAACCACCCTGGACAAGAAGAACGTGTCCGTGACCGAGATCCTTCACGGCGAGGGTCTTCTCTCCAACAAGTCCGCTCACTACCACACTGTCGTCGAGGAGCCTGAGTTCACGGGCGGAGAGAGGGCGCCGGAGCTGGGCGAAGGGGCAGGCGGAGAAGCCACGACGGAGGAGGTATTCCACTCCGCCGAGGACCATGACACTTTCCATGTCACTGAGGATTATGATACATTCCACTCCGCTGAGGATCACGACTCTTTCCACTCCGCCGAGGAATACGAGGATGACTTAATCACCCCCTCGACTTCGCGCGCATCGCCTTCTTCCACCGCAAGGCCTTCGGTTGGTGTCACGGAATCCACTCCTGGGCATTCGACGACGACCAGGATGCCAACCACAACGGCGCCAACTCCCACGGTGGAACTTTCTTCAACAACTTCCACAACAATGCCCTCTACTGGGCGACCAGTTACGACTAGAAAGCCAACAACAACGAGCACTATGGTACCGTACACATCACCTTCTTCAACCCTCTCTACAACACTCGAACCTACAACTCCAACGACGACAACAACAATCGAACCTACAACTCCAACGCCAACGACCACAACAACAATCGAACCTACAACTCCAACGCCAACGACCACAACAACAATCGAACCTACAACTCCAACAACCACAACAACAGTCAGATTCACAGCCTCAACTACTACCTCTACAACACCTAAACCTTCACCACCAACATCCACCACAACACTCATACCCACAGATACAAGCACCTCTACAACACCTAAACCTTCTTCCCCACCAACAACCACCACAACAGTCAAACCCCCAGTTTCAGTAACCTCTACAACAATGAAGCCTTCACCACCAACCACCACCACAACAACTCCAAACCCAACAACATCGACGACACTCATATCCACAACTCCTACAACTTCAACAACATTCAAGCCATCATCCCCACCAACAACTACCATAATCCCTGAAACAACCACGCGAAGCACAGTTCCGTCGACGAGTAAGCCGAGCCCTCCGTCGCCTACACCTTCAGGAGAGGGAGTCAGCGAGTCTTACGAACCTCCCCTTTTCCCCGGAGGTTCAACCCACGCTGAGGAGGCAGGGGGGGAAGAGGAGGACGCTGAACCATTTGAACCTCCACCGTTCCCCGATGTGTTCAGCGACCCGGATGTACGAGATCGCCTCAGGGAGTTCTATGAGAAAGGAGACTTCAGCCATTCAGAACTCATTTCCAGGTTGAATTTCGACCCGGAAAACTATGAGTATTATTATGATGGGGATTATGATTATTCTGAGTATGTCTGATCAGTGTGTGTGTGTTTTTTTTGTTGTTGTTTTTTTTGTAGCGTTTGTGTTTGTTTATATACGCCCCTATCCACCAGTCCTCTATTGCCGGGGAGTATAGACATTAAGACAGTCTAAAGCCCTATAAAAGAAAAAAAAAATACTAGTGAATCTTTTAGCATAGTCCCCCCTAAAAAGAACATTCCTATCCATTTTCTTTGACACAGACACTGTAATTTTACTTATCTTTTTGACATTCCATTATAATTGTGTTTAAGTTCTTGTTTCCGCTTTATATCACGCCATAATCCATCTTTAAATAACCACAGCATTAAACTTAAGGGTAAACTATTGAAAAATAGCCTTTTGCTTCATTAAAGGGAGTCGGTCGTATTAAATTGTGTGTATAAATCTTTGGGCATTGAATAATATATCTAAACCCTAAACGTATGTCTGCTAACATTAAAAAAATAATAAAATAGGTTTTTTTTAATGAAAATCCTCAATAAAATTACTTACATGTATGTACATACAATACATAATTCATGTTAAAGTATGTATGGCTATTATTGCAAATACAGATATTCATGTATTTATAATTGTGATGTGTTTTGAATTGATATCTTAGAGCCACTATGTTGTAATAATAAAAGTTGTTTACCAGATCCCTTACATTAAAAAATAATGACATATAATTAAGGTATCAATAATTAATTACCATACTGTGTTTAAGATAATCACCATGATCTGGTCTCTTGAGATGCATAGTATCTCTTTTCTGATCTTTGTCTAATGTATGTGAATGAAAATAAAGGGAAAATATAGAAGAAATTAATGTAAAAGTATTACCTGAAGAAAAGGCTGATACTTAAAAGACAGTTAGGAATGGATATGGAATTGAGGAAGTTGTATTCTGCATTGTGCATTCTGACTGTACTTTACTCATGGTCAAAAATTTCTTAAAGTATTTATAGGCAAGTGGCTTTATACTTTTTCACTACTACAAGTAATTACTGCATACTCATTCCTTGATAATGATTATGTGAGCTTGTACAGGCTGATATAATTGCAGAATTAAGCAGAAAAATCAGGTCTTATTAATTAGCGTTTTAGATACAATGAAATTAAGTTATTAACATATGTATTAAATGACAAATTATTTATTTTTTATACAAACAACAGACAATATTTATCATGTGTCACTGGTATTAGACTAATGTAGTTTTGACAGTAACAGAACTAGCACTGTCCATTTCCATAAATATAACGAACATTTTAACAAAGTGTACAGTGTCTTTTATATAGATCTTGAGCTGCATGTTTATGTTATAATGTACAGTTGAACTGTTATTGTTTTCAACTTCAGAAGAAATTGCTATTTGTACTATGTTAATTTTGAAGAATTCCTTCAAATGTTTTAAAAGTTTTTGCTACATTTTCTTTATATTTTTTCCTTTTTCATCCTGATTTTAATTTAATCTGCATATACTAAAATAAAACATCTTCAAGCATTGTTGAGATCTGGCAGTAACTTACAATAAACTTCAATAACAGTCATAATGACTATCATGAACCAAGAAATTAAAACTTGCTGCATCTAACAATTATCTGGTATATAATCAGTTATACAGTGGCCACAAATTTTACAAATGATTTGGACATGGTAATGGGAGACCCTTATCCTGAGTAAATGCCCTTTCTATGTTCATACCATGAGCAAGGATGAAGCACAAACACTTGGAGGCTCTCTAGGTCCCCAGTCATTCACATTACTATTACACAAACCTACACCTAAATACAATACTATGGGGAAGAGAATCTCACTTATAAGTAGCTTTGATTGACTAAACTTGATTATACTAACTATAATCCATCAACAGTTCATTCAATGAGGCATGGTGCAAAAAAACATAGCCTATGCTGTCACAGTCATGTAGTCCAGGTTGAACTTGGACATAATAATATGTTATGGATTGTTTGTTTTGAAATCTAAGCTAGCCATAATACTGGTCGCCATTGCATATTTTCATACATCAGTACTGTTTCCCTAGAGGTGAATATCGAATAAAAATACTTTGGGGTGAATAACATGAACATTTGGTCATAAGTAAAAGAAATTTTGTGATGAACTCTCATGGATGAACATTGGAGCCTTACTATATTATATTATTACTTTGTAGCTTCATTTTCTTTTCAGCTTTTCTCTCCCTACAGTGCATAGTCACCTGATAGAAAACAAGTCATTCTTTTCTTTTGCCATCAAGTGTCCAACTTATGTACAATTTCTGTTCATTTTTAACATTATCTTTACAAGTTGTTTTCTTAAAACATGTATTGACAGGGCTTTATTTGATGCAGGGAACCTCTTTGAATGACTGACACTTGCAAAATCTGGTTAGGGCCACAGCTAACAAACTAGTGAAGGTAACATAAGGGAATATAGTACCTTCAATTTAATGAGAATTACATGAGAATAATTACATACTTACATGAGAAATGGAATTTTTTTTCCCAATTTATCACTTTCGTTAAATTTTCTTATTTTAAGTCATATTATAAGTAACAAAGCCTGAAAACAGTAGCATATTCTCCTCAATATGTACACAACATTAACATTGTGCTCAATGATAAAAAATATTTAAAAAAGAAAACAGGCTGTATGAAAACTTATCCTTTAATATTAAGAAATTAAACATGAAATTTATTCATATGTCGAAACTTTCCGTCATGTCAACATCTAAAGTCATTAGCGGCATAAATATAGCGAAAGCATGAGGCTTGGAGACAAAGCTCCCAGGTAAGAAAATGCTATATGATATCAAAGATCATGTGACACTATGGTAAAGTAGAGTAGCCAAAAGGGTTAGGAATGGTTTAGTGATTAGGGTAAAGTTACAGGTTGAACAGCAATAGAAGGTAGTATGGTAGTGAAAAGGGTAGAGAGGGGGAACTGATGGGGTATAGTATAAGGTAAAGGTTGTTAGAAGAGGAAGGAGTTAGGGAGGTAAGGGAGATTATGATAAAGTATTGTGACAAAAATGGCAAAGATGAGTCAACATTTAGGATAAGTAGATAGAACAAGGGGATGCGGAAAAGGAATATCAAGGAAATGAAGAAAAGACCATGCAAAATTTCTTGAGGCAAGGGCTGAGAACCAAAGTAGGGGTGATCCTAAAACTGGGTGATCCCTAAAACTACGTCTTAGTGACTAAGACCAGAAAACTTCATGAGAAATATCAATGACTGCAGTTCATTAACTTCACCTGATAGAAAACAAAGTCATTTTTTCCTTTTGCCATCAAGTGTCCAACTTATGTACAATCTCTGTACATTTTTGACCAGACATACTTTTACATTCTTGGTCCTTAATTTTTTGTTACTTGTGTGCTAATGCTGTCAAGTTCCTCAGTAATGCTTCTTTCTAACAGCTGAAACTTTTTAGAAATCTGCTTTTCATAAAAACTTTACTGATCCAACATGCAAAAGGCAACATATTCATATGCTTTCTGTTTCATAAAGATTTTTATCAAACTATAGTATTGTAATAGTGTTCTTTTAAATAAACATTTTTAGGTATATACATTAGGAGGCCCCTTCCTCCTGCGAGTAATAAAACTCCCTTCCTTTAAATATTCTACTATACAAGTACAAGTTGGAATACCTTTAGAATCTATCCAAAGACATGGAGGTAAAGGTATATTGGTTAAAAAGCACTAATAATCTCAGGTTCAAAATGCCTTTAAATAGCATATCATCATTTAACATTCATAGTCTCTCCTAGTTCATGATGCATGTCTGCTTTTTTACACTTTCTTGGTGTTTTTAGTTGCATAGCCATAAAAGTAAAGAAACCTGTTTTTTTGTTGTTTTTTTCCCCTCCTTTGGATATTCTACAGCAGTTACTCTGTACAGGCCTGCCAGATATGTACATCATTAAGTACTACCTTTTCAAATTCATTCTATTTCCCCGAGATATTATAAATGTACATCTAGTGGGTTTATTAAATGTGTAAAGATTACTGCTAGAAAAATATAACGTAGTCCCATGATGGATTATTTGAAAAGGAGTATTTGATATCTGGTAGAAATAAATTCAGAAATGATAAAAAAATTCTGAATTATTTGCTTTTTCCCATTTAATCTCTATAATCTGTATGTCATCTTGTCATGAAAAAAATTGGCTTGAGGGGCAGGTGACTTGGAACGTGCTGTCATGGAAAAATATGGTTGAGGATTGGGGTAACGGTAACATGTCACACTGAGAATTTCAGATGAAGGCCGGGATGACAGAAATGACACCACAGTGCACAAAACTCTTGGAGGGTAATTAAACTGAGTGGACATTTAGAATGTAAAATTTGTGAGCCATGACTGGAAGAGCCTGCAACAGGGAGAACAACATTTCCATGCTCAGGATCCTATTCCTGCTCACCATGACCAGTGGTGCAGTTTCTATGACAAATATTAATATTACAAAAAAAACTGAGTTATTTACTACCTAGAGACATATGGAATATGTGGAAAGAAAACAGTCTATTACTATCTAGATACAGTAAATCAAATGGCAAATATAGACATTGGAAATTAGCAAAAAACAAGAAATGTTCATGCAGAAAAGGCAAAGTATCATGCAACAGAAGATGCATGGAGTCTTCTCACCACACGAGTGTTTGTGTACCCAGCCTACAAGCCGCACACCTAGCAGAGTTGATGCTCAAATAAGCTAATGCATGTAGATCCATGGGGTTAATAATGAATATACTGAATAAAAATTTTGCATTGCATTTCACCTCAGTTTAACCCCATCCCGACGGGTCACGCCGATAGGTGTGAAAACAAACCGCTCAAAATGTGGCGTGCGGATAATGTCACATCAAAGCGCAGTGAGCCGGTGATTCGGCTTGATGTACCGAACTCCGATGGTGCGCTGCCATCACCAGAGCATAGAGTTATTTTTAAGTTTTTTTAACCCATCACCAAGGGGTTAAGCATATTGACCCCCCCCCCACATCATTTGCTCATTGTTATTGTGGGGGTCTTCGGAGAGGGAGACTGAGGCCTAATGTGGGGGATCATCCCTGCCTTGGACCCCCTGTCCTCATCTTAACTAATTTTGCATGGTTTTTCTTTTCAACCTTTACTTTTCCTTCTCTTCTTCATTCCCTTCTTCTATCCACTTATTGTAATCATTAATTCGTTTTTACCCTTTTCAATACAATACTTTACTATTGTGCTACATGTCCTTTGATATCTAGCACATTTACATGTTTTAACATTTAGCTATTCTGGGAATCCACACACATTGCCTTATGTACTAGAAAACTTCATTACTAAGGGACTTCACCCTATCACTGTATTTTGATGCCACTAATGACCTTAAATGTTAACACGGCAGAAATGTTTCAATAAGTCAATAAAATAAGCATTTTGATTAAATAACATTTCTAACTCTATAGAAAAAGAAAATTACCTCTACAGGTATTTTTGATCACGAAAATGTTCAAAAGTCATAATATATGTATGTGATCAATATTTCTTAAATAGAAAAAAGGGAGCTGGTTAATAAAAAGAAAATAATCCATTTCAAGTTTAATAGAAATCTTTTCCGAATCCAACCTTCCACTCATACACATCAAGGAAATCCAACCACCACTTTCACTTGTACGAAATCATAGAAGTCTCCCTTAAATCTCTTTGTCTATGTTTAGGTGAAAATAAATAACTTGACTATCTTTTTAAGTTGGCAATTCCCTGCTCTCGGTCAGTGCAAAAGAGAAAATAACAAAAATTTTAAAATGTAAAATATAAGGAATCACTACAGAGGAGGCTCATTAACCTAAATAATTACAAAAATAGAAAATGCAATGAAACCAGATCAAGTTACAAAAAATGTGACACAAATCTCACTTTGAAATAAGATTCTCCTTATATAACACCAAGAATGTAAGACATCTAGATCCACTAGTACTATGTGCTTATTTCTTCTTCTTCTTAGAGCTGGTGCCGTCAGAGGTGGAGGCAGCCGAGGGGGCGTCTTGTGCAGGGGCCCACTTCAGGGGGTATCGGCGGTAGATGGGCCATGGGGGTAAAGTTACCTGAAAGGTATCTGGAGATCAATGACTGTCCCATGTAATTATCGTAAGGCCTCGTTCCCCTTGTGAAAAAATAAAAAGAACTCTTGACTATAAATACTACAAAATACATTATGATTATTTCATATAAACTTAAAAGGAAACTTGAAACAAAGTCTCAAAACCTCTATACCACATGTAAATGCTTAAACAACAATGATAAACCCTAAAAGAAGCTGCCAAAGCTTACACTTCATGGATGGGATAAAGGCATCAATTCACACTCTTGCCTATTTTCCAGTGACCTAAATTTGAAGACAATATTCCACCACACATATATGGTCAGTAACTACTTTTAAAAAATCTATATATTTCCCCCTTACTGACATCATCATATGGGCTTGCAAGAGTGCAGATACGTGAGGGCCATCAGACATGCAAGTAATATAACTGAACCTACCCCACAGGATGTTGAACCCCACTGCGCAACCACAACTTACCAAACAGGCTAAGATGAATCCAGCACCAAGTGTGAGCACGGTCATGTGGAAGTCCTGTACATAATAGCCCCAGAGCCAGCCAACAGCCTGAAAGGGATCAGAGAGATTACTCATAAGCAAGGGTACACAAGAAATTCCCACAATAAAATATTCACATCCAGGAAAGGGAGTGTGGGTGTTAGGATTATGAACACTAATCATTTCCTTGTTTGTAATGAACTCAACATGAAAAAAAATAAATAATAAATAAATTTTATACAGTCTGATACTAAACAATCACACACATAATCTATTTAGATTTATAGAAAATAAAGTCATATATCATTAAATAATGATAAGAATGACTAATTGTAAAAATTTAGCTGCAATTGTAATTATAACTGAAGATGATAAAGATAATGACAACTGATGAAGATGATGATGATGAAAATGGTGGTGATAGTAATAGTGAGTGACAGTGAAAATGACCATAACACTGACTATGACAACAAAAAGACTAACATTAAAGCATTAACACTAATAATAATGAAATTGAATTAATGATGATGCAGAGTAGTAATGATCTGCTAAACACCATATGATACTTACACCAAAGGCAACAACTATTATCTGGAATAGTCTTTCTGCCAACTTCTGCCCCTCAAAATCCTGAAAGAAAAAAATCATTTTCCATAAAATATATAACACAACTTTTAAGATTAATATTCATATGAAGGGTTTTGAAGTTTACAAGGGACTTCATTTACTAACTTGAAATATCAATATAAAAAATAACAATGCAATTACCATATATAAGATAAATAATGGACTCAACAGCCAGGCAAAGGTCCACATATACCCACCACTATATTCTAGCAAGATAAAACTTAAATTGATTCCCTATTTGACCATATATCTACAGGGAAGTCTGTAAAATAGAAACAAAACTTCACAAGAAGTATGTGGTATCCACACTACTTTGGGGGAATTCTGTTGCTAAAGGTATATTGGAGCATATTTCTTGGAAAACATGGTATGTACATTCTAAGTGGCTGGTTGATATTTAGCATGATATATGACTGAATGTTTTTTTATCAAATAATTTCTTAACTGCCAATTTAAAGTATAAATGTCGTACATAATTTGGTAATTTTCTAGAACTTATCTGTATCTTAACCCTGTCCTGCTGGGAAAATATAGTGTTCACTGTAGTAAAATTTTGTGAAGTCTCAACATATATAGATGGCTCCATAAGTGCTCAGCCAGCAAGTGGTCAATTAATCAATCTCTTTACTGATTTCATCTTTCTTTGAGTTTTTGGGAAAAATGTTTGTACACAAATGCTATCAAATCAGTAATTCTTTACAATATGGACAGATTCACAAGAGACTAAGTCCCCAACTTTATGTCACAATTTTTTCAGCAATTTAAGTTGCCATGAATGGGCGACTGAAGAATAACATCTTCAATCTGCCCTAGCTTAGCGCATTCATACCGTAAAGATTAACCTTGATATCAATGCTGTTATTATTATTATAGACATTATAGTCATTATAATGTTACTGACATTACTAACATTAATATAAGATAAAAGAAAATATTTCAGAAAAGTCATCCCCTTCAGCATTAAAGTAAAACCTATCAAATCTGGTATCAATGAACTCCTTCAGAGATTATTAAGAAACTAATAAGACAAAAAAAAAATAATTAATAAGAAATTAAATAAAAACAAAATGAGAACATGAAATCCAAAATATATATTTGTATAAAACTGAATGTTCGTGCGAGGTATATGTGAACAACACATATACCTCCCAAACTCATTAATAAATAATGTTTGACGTAATCCTACTCGCAGCCAAGTGTTGACACAATAAAGGAATGCTAGAGGAGAAGAGAGAAATAAAAAGGAATGAAGTAGTGGATGCACAGATAATAATTGTGATTAAAAAGCATCATATTGAATACGAAATGCATGATGATCCTCAACCAAATCAACCAGACCCACACGACCACAATGGACTTACTCTCTGTGCAGAATTTATCACAGCCTATTTTCTTCATGCCTGAAGTTATTCTTTGCCTACACAGATTATTTCATGAATCAGTAAATGTAGTGTTCCCTTCTTTATAACAAAGTTGGTAACATTTCCCTACCTTAGTGTGATCATTATGTTGTTGTCAATTTACTCGCAGCCAAGTGTTGACACGATAAAGGAATGCTAGAGGAGAAGAGAGAAATAAAAAGGAATGAAGTAGTGGATGCACAGATAATAATTGTGATTAAAAAGCATCATATTGAATACAAAATGCATGATGATCCTCAACCATACAAATCAACCAGACCCACACGACCACAATGGACTTACTCTCTGTGCAGAATTTATCACAGCCTATTTTCTTCATGCCTGAAGTTATTCTTTGCCTACACAGATTATTTCATGAATCAGTAAATGTAGTGTTCCCTTCTTTATAACAAAGTTGTAACATTTTCCCTACCTTAGTGTGATCATTATGTTGTCGTCAATCAAAGTACTACATGTTGCACAACTTTCTTATTATCAACATGCAAAGAAAATGCTATAGATGAAAAGTGTATTACTTTCTGTCATTCTGTCCACATCACAAGAAAGTTTACTTTGTACCACATGACTATTTATTGAAACTATATATAGGTAACTTTTTTATTTCACACAGTCATCCAACATTCCAATTACTATTCTGTTTCAAGTATTCACATTGTAATATGCACAGGTTATGGAGTGACCATAACACTCTGAGGCTAAGACACTATTACCCCAGCCACCCCCAGGAATCCACTAAAATCACTGCATGAACCAAAAAACTTCCTAGCCCAGGGGCTTCACCCCCAGACTTTCATCTGATCACCAGATTTCCCTATCAGATCCCCTCCTATTGCTGTGGACTTATTCTCCGGATGGCATTAGTCCCAACTTACTTTTCTTTCTGATGTTATTCATTACCTGTGCAGATTATTTCATATACAAGTGAGTGTAGTTTCCCCCTTTCTTTATAATAGGGCTAGTGTCATTACATTTTCCTGGAAATGTATACCAATGTGTTGTAGCAGCACGACCCCGCAACCTGAAGCTCAGCATACTTGACAGGTTGGGTCACAGCCTTGTCCACGCTCATTGGACAGCAGGCTCCCCTCATTCCCTGCACACTTTCATAGCACTAGTGTATTTAAGCCGCAGAATCTGGAACTGAGATTAGCAATCTATGATCCTCCAGTCACACCACGGCAAGCAGCAGCAACTCAAGACTGTTTAGTCCTTCTCCGACTGGGAAGCCTACTGGCTCCCATTTATCTCCACTTCAGCTACAGCACCCAGCCATACCAGTGGATACTAACACCCACTACAATCACTACCCAAAGAGAGAAGACACCAACCCAAGCGGTAGATGTAATATCCTCTACCACAGTATTACATGTTTCACAACTTCTTATCATCAATTTGTTCAGGAAATATCATGGATAAAGTGTTATATTTTCTGTTGTTCTCTCTATAACAATTGATGTTTACCCTATACAATATGGCTGTGTGAAACTGAAAATAAACTATAATCTCAATAACTTGAAAATTTGTGACTTGAACACGTTACCCTCGTAAAATCTAGCTGCAGGCCAGTTTGACGCGCACTTGCCATCATGAGCATTTCTGTTAAAAAATGGGGTGATAAGAAAGACTCATAATAAATGCAGAAAGCTCTTGGAGAGTGATTAGACTCATTTGGCATTTAGGAAGGGGCTTTTACATTATTTCTATTGATAAATGAATGTGGAATGTATTGCCTGTGAGCTAAGACTGGAAGAGTGCTGACTCCAAAGAGGACGCTATTTCTATGCTCAGGATCCTCTGCCATGATTGGTGGCACAAGTTGTATTACAGAAAAATGAATATTATAAAAAAAAAATAAAATAAATAAAATAAAAAGGACATAAATAACTCAGTGTTACACATTGTAAAAAAAAAAATGGTTTTGCAGAAAATGGAAAAATAACATTGCAAAGGGGAGGCACACATGAATGTTTGCACAAACCTGGCTTACAAGCCTCATACCCAGCCTAATGCCCATCTTATGGGCATCTGGATCCTTTCTCTATGATACTCAATTTGCAGAAAAACACCAAAGATGAAAATTGTCTTATCTTCTGGACAACATTGGCATTAACCCATTGCTGCCGGGGAAAATGAATAAAAAATGGGGAAAATGCTGTACTAATTTTTTATATTTTAGTGAAATGTCACTGTACATAGATGACTCTGCTTTTCCTGATTTCACCTTTCCTTGAATTGGCGGGAAAAAACATTCTTACTACAGCTATAAATATAGATGGTGTTATTTTTTACAGCAAAATAAGATAACATTAAATATTTTTGTAAATCGATGAAAAGGGTGAATGGGCGAGACAGGCAGTACTGGTAATTGGCTCACTGGTGACTTAGTACAAGTGTAGCCATCTATGTGTAAAAACAATCAAACAAGTCGACTCACAGTGGGCATGGCATGTACGTACATGCCATACCCGTCGGCAAGGGGTTAAGCAAAGTTTACTTCATGCAATGTAGATGTATGGAACAGAAACAATACTAAAATATGCACAGGACACACTTTTTCCACCAATAAAACAGGTATAGTTTCAGTTCACTACAGTTATGTCAAACAAAGTAAAAATTACCTATAATGGACAGAAATACTGAAAATAAGACACTTTTCATCTATGATATTACCTTCGCAAGTTAATAAGAAAGTTGTGTAACACATAATATTTTAGTATACATTTAAAGGCAAATGTAATGGCACTATAACAATCACATAGAAAACCTAAGCTCATTAACCCCTTACTGATGGGTTACAAGAATTTTTTTTAAATCTACACTCTGGAAATTAATGGCAACGAGCCGACTTTGAGTGCAGGAGGCGCTACATCAAGCCAAACTTCCGGTTCATAGCACTTAGGCACATCACCGCGGCATACGGTCACACTCCACAGATCAAGCAGTTTGTTATGACACCTCAGCATGCGATCCATCCGTATAGGGTTAATACATGAAATAAGTGGTGTAAGCAAGAAATATCAGAAGTTTTTAAATTAGGTTGCAAAAAATGCCACAATGAGAGTTAGTCCACGGCAATCAGATGGTGGTCCAGGTAAGAAACCCCGATAGCTATGGTGCATTCTGTGTAAAACTCAAGCCGGAGGTACGCCAATAGCTCATCGAGTATACGCCTATGTTCCCGATAAGAGTAATTTTTCATAAAGTACAACGCCAAGTTATAGCCAAGTAGATTGTTAATGGCAGCACACACTTTTTAATAAGAATTGTGAATTTTTCCCCAGCCTTGTGATTCTTAAAAATTTGGGATTTTGAGCCTCAGATATTTGTTAATAAACAGCCACAAGGAGTGTGTGTGTGTGGGGGGGGGGGTGCGTTGTAAAGGAATAAAACAAACAACATTGTATAAGTGCATTGCTTTAACCCAATGGCGCCGGGTGTACAAAAGAAAAAAAAAACTCTACGCTTAAACAAACAAAGGTGGCGCGCCGACTTTGAGCGCGTGAGTAGGGGACATCAGCCCGAATCACTGGCTCGCCGCGCTTTGGCGCGCCGCCGGCTCGTTCGGCTGCACGCCAGCTTTCGAGCTCTTTGTGTACACGCCGATCGGCGTCACCCAGCATCAAGGGGTTAACTTAAAAGCATGAAAAAGCAGTAAAGATAAAAAAGCATGCACTGAGATTTTTCCATTTCATTACGCCAATACGCCAAGGAATATAATTTAGGCTAAATCCACGACGCCACGCCAACAAGAAAGCTAACTCCACGCCGGAGATCTTCGGGCCTAAGTGCAT